CACTCAGTGACAGAGAGGGTTCAGGACGGCCCATGACCAGGTCCACAAGGCTGCAGTCAAGTATTTCATAGACGATGCAGTGGTACTTCTCACACGTGAAGTGCTCGATGTACTTGATGATATTCACCTCGTCTGGATCAATGTTCCCCAGATGCTGGATAACTTCCAGCTCCTCTTCCATATCATCATCATCTTCAAACAGTTTCACTGCCACCACTTCTTTGGTTTTGGAGTTGAAGCATTTGGCAACTTTTCCACATGCTCCTTCCCCAAGAAACTTCAGAAAGGTGTAGTTCCCTAACTTTGGGTGGGCGCCCTCTGCTGGAGGGCAGGTGATTGTTGAGGAAACTGATGCAGACATTGTAAAAGTGAGTGATTGTACGAGCTCCAGTAAACGTAGACTGTCTCTATCAGTGTGTTTGTTCAAATGAGGACCTGAGACCTGACACTTATAACGTGAGACCTGCGCTTTGTGCTTTGATACATAATTCGTTGCCATGGAGATGGAATGTGGCTTTGCCATGATGTCACTATTGACATTTACATCTGAATCCATGTTTACATTTAAAAATATGACCTGGTGACCCCTGAATCCTCTACAATTTGCCTATCAGTGCCATGTAGACATGGAAGATACAATCTATCTTCTACAGCAGACTCACTCACATGTGGATGGTGTTAAGGCTCTGATGATATTGTTTTTTGTTTTTTTTTTGTTTTTGTTTTTTTTTTCTCCAGTGCCTTTAATACAGTCCTTTTCTGATGAATGACAACGTGCTCAGGATGGGTGTCAGCTCCTCCGTTGACTGACTACCTGTCAGGGAGGTCTCAGTACATGAGACTGCGGACAACCCTGTCTGATACAGTGGTCAGTAATGTAGGAGCTCGTCAGGGTACAGTTCTGTCACCATTTCTGTTCACTGTGTACAATAAAATCAAATTCCTTTTAATCCTGACTCAAAACAATTATCTGGAAAAATAATATAATCCAGCATGTTGTCAGCAGCTGTGTGTGTGTCCTCTGTCTATGGCCAAAGCGCCGTTTATATTCATTGCAGAGCCCCGATACAAATGAGCACTTAGCACACATAGGAACACTGTCTATTACCTCAGCTAACAAGATGAGAGCACATTACCAGTATGTCCAAAAGTTAAAGTAATTCCACTCATTGCTGGACATTAAACCAGGTCTAAAAACCAGGTCTAAGACCAGGTCTAAACCAGGTCTAAAGTATTCAGATTACGTTACTCAATTTAAGTAATTTAATAGATTACGTTACAAACTACATTTTGGGGTCTGTAATCTGTAGGGGAATACATTTTAAAAGTAACCCTCCCAACACTGGTGACTGGTTTAGAGTTTATTACAGTAAAGTATGTTTTCCTTTATATTTTCCTGTCTGTCTCTTGTCTTTCTCTCTGTCCCTCATTCTTTGTCTCTCTGAAGGTAATGGCGTAAAGGTCAAGGTGGTTTGTATAGGGCTGGTACACAGCGTCTGCAGAGAAGCCAGCGCCACATGTCAATACTTTTACTAAAACATTTTGTCTCGGAAAAGGTCAAACGTCAGAGAGGCCACAATAAATATATGTTTTTACTTCATCCTAAAATAAACTCTCCTCTATAGCCTATATTTGCTCCTTGATATCAGGAACATGACATTTTCGAAAATTGATCTGATAAAATGTATGATGGTCTGTTCAGTGGCTTCTACGCACAGTATGTAGTAATGTTGATGTATTTGTTTCAGTCACACAGAGGTGCTGTTGGAATATCAGTGTTTTGTTTAAAGGGACCATTATGCATCATCATCACAAACATATCTGGAGTTTTCATTGTTTCTCTTTTAAATAGTTTTTTAAACTGTACCAGGCTCCTACACAGGTTTAGTTTTTCTGATAATCCGTTCCAAAGATGAACTCCACACACTGAGGCTGCGTTCAGACTGCAGCCTGAAGTGACCCAAATCCGATTTTTTGGCTTCTATGTGACCTGTATCCGATCTTTTAATGACAGTCTGAACGACACAGATCCGATTTTTTTCAAATGTGACCCAGGCCACTTGGATATGTGCTCCTGAAACCGATACATATCTGATCTTTTGACATGCGACTTCAGTCTGAACGGCCAAAGCGCATTCATCCAACCTACATGTTATCAACAAGCCACAAACGTCACTATTCTGCGCTGAAGTAGGTGAAAATTGTTAATGAACTCTGTGTCACTGAAGCGAAGCACATCACCACTCACCACTCTTGGCCACATCTCCGCATCCACAAAAACGCCCCACAAAACACCCCGGCCAAAAACCTCGTCCTTCTCCTTCTCAGTCTCCTCCTTAAAACAAGTAAGTTGTTCATGTTCTGGTTCCAGTACGAGAGGAACTTTAAAATCTCCAGGTGCTCAATGCTCGCGTCCATGTTTGGACAACTTCCGTAAACACAGAGACGCTCTCTGCGGCTGACGTCATCGTGTCCTCCAGTGCACATGCGGGACACTTTCGGGCCATTTACTGTTCACACTAGAGATCACATACAAGTCACATTTAATTGGAAATGTGAACGACCTCGCAAAAACATCGGATTTCACAAAAAAATCGGAATTGAGCGTTAAACCCTGCAGTTTGAACGTAGCCTGAGATGCACATTGGCTTTAAAGTTGTTCTAAATTTCAGCTGATAAAATTCCTTTTTACCTCTAAGTAGTTATGATGAGCATTTTGATCTGAAAATAAGTTGTTTAAAATAGCTGGAAGAGAGTTGATAGATGCCCTGAACATAATTTTAGCTGTTTTAAAGTTTACCAGATCATGACCTTTTAAGTCAGATGATTTTAAAAACAGTGGGTTTGTTGGATGCACATAGTGGACCTTTTGTGCAATCTTTTTTTGCAATGAAATTAAAGGCACTAAATGAGTCTTATAGCAGTTTCCCCAAACTTCAACACAATAATTTAAATAAGACATAACAAAAGAATGATACAATAAAAGTAGTGCATTCTCTATCAATACAAGTGTTAGTAATGGTTATTTGGATTGGTATGGAACTTTTAATGATGTCCAAATAACATGAGTTTAATCTTTTTTTAAATTCAATGATAATTTATTTTTTATCAAAACTAGAATCATTTGGATGATTTCACACCTGGAATTGCAAATCTTTACTGAACCAAAGCTTTTAATTTGAAAACTACCACTTCATGACGTCACAAGCTTTGGAGACGTAGACAGACTAACTAATAATGCAGCATTAGTCAAACATTTGTGAATGAAACAAAACACGACTTGGCCAATTTACGGTCCAGCGTCAAACCGTCTTTGTCACGTCTGCCTCAACGTGAACCCCCTACGCAGAGCATCTACGTCGAATGTGCACCTCCGAAATGTTCTAACTACAGACAGACAGTTAGAAGCAGACAGTAAGGGCTGTGATTGGTCTTCTCCGCCACCGATCTGCAAACATTTCCTGTACTCCGCTTTCCTTGCTTTTAATATACATTGATTAATAATGTGTTTAATCCAGCTTTGAGCACATTTGTTTATGCTTTACAGAAACTAAACTTAAAACCACATGGCAAATTTGCATAAACTATAAGTACTAAAAAAAAACAAAAAAAAAAACAGCTTGCTCCTTGTGCCACTGATGCGATGCTAAAGGACACGACTCAGTGGAATATGGCTACGTTCAGACAGCAGGACTTAACGCTCAATTCAGATTTTTTTGTGAAATCCGATGTTTTTGTGAGGTCGTTCACATTTCCAATAAATGCGACTTGTATACGATCCCCTGTGTGAACAGTGTCCCGCATGCGCACTGGAGGACATGATAACGTCAACCGCAGCGAGCGTGTTCTGTGTTTACGGAAGTCGTCCAAACATGGACGCGAGCATTGAGCACCTGGCGATTTTAAAGTTCCTCTCGTACCAGAGCCTGAACATGAACAACTTACTTGTTTTAAGGAGGAGATTGAGAAGGAGAAGGACGAGGTTTTTGGTCGTGGTGTTTTGTGGGACAGCGGCAGCGACGTCCGTTGAAAGGAACGTGTGGATGTGGAGACGGAGCCAAGAGTGGTGAGTGGTGATGTGCTTCACTTCAGTGACACGGAGTTCATTAACAATTTTCACCTACTTCAGCGCAGAATAGTGACGTTTGTGGCTTGTTGATAACGTGTAGGTCGAATGAATGCGCTTTGGCCGTTCACACTGAAGTCACATGTCAAAAGATCAGATATGTATCGGTTTCAGGAGCACATATCGAAGAGGCCTGGGTCACATTTGAAAAATCGGATCTGTGTCGTTCAAACTGTCATTAAAAGATCGGATACAGGTCACATAGAAGCCAAAAAAATCAGATTTGAGTCACTTCAGGCTGCAGTTTGAACGCAGCCTATGAGTGTTCTTTCTGTGACAGAGGAAGTGCTGCTGATGGTGAGTCTGTTCTGTGCTTCTATCGCATTGGAAAGTTTTAAATCCTAGCCTCCCAGCATTGTGGCGGTGAATTACTTTGCAGTGTATGAACCTTGACGCAGACCCATAAATCAAAAACGACGGCGGCAAGGTGACAGCGGCAGTGTGCATTGAGTGGACGCAGAACTAAACTTCGCCCTTTAGTTCAGTAGAGATTTGCAATTCCAGGTCTGAAGTCATCCAAATGATTCTAGTGAAGGTGTGTGGAGTTTAAAAACACAGTGGAGCACTTTCTGTATTACCACATGACATCACAAGGTGGAACAGAGTATTGTTTGTTTAGGGTTTGTGTGTTAAACATGTGTGAGTCAAACAAAACACAGCTCCAGACATGTTTGTGATGAGGAAACAACATTATAACAAATCATATGTATTAATTTAATATACATGATATAAAATAAATACAGTTTTGTATTTTATTTATAAATAATTTACAAACTCTGTTCTACTTCAGTCTTTTGGTAAAGATTTGTATAACCTCTTCCATCTCTGCTCAAACATACATATTTAATTTATCAAATGTTGTTTTGTTTTGCAGAAACTGCGATGGGAAAAACATTCGCTACAAAACCTGCAGCAACACGGTATGTCTCATCTTTTCAAACTCTCCCAGTGAAAAACTACCTCGTCTCTCACACCCACTCACCCAAAACGAGCCTGTGAAACCCGGTATCCTTGAAATGTTGTTTACATATTCAACACGAGTTATTTAAGTGGAAACATAAAACTTGCTCATAAACGCTTTTTATTAAACCAGGATCATTGAAAACCTGTGAAAGTCTGGCTCAAATCGCTCGTAAAATGGTACAAATAAGCCCGGCTGGAGTCCGATCTCTGAGCGTGTTTGGACAGACCTTAATCACGGCCACTTCATAGAAAACCACAGTGGGAAATGCAAGTGAATGAATGGTTATGGGTAGGTTAGGACATTTGATAGATGAATAATTTGCCGCGCGGGTTTAAAAGAATGAACAGAAATCACAGGGAGCAGCAGCGCATGTTATACTGGAGGAAAAACACCATGTAATTTCATGTTTCATATGGAGTACATTGTATAGAACTGATATTTTCCATTGAGAAATCAAGCTCCCAGCCCTTGCTTGATATTGTGCCCTCACTGCTGAAGCGGATACAGCTGCGCAGATAGATAAACTCCTCGACAACTGACAGGTGTATTGTCCAATTTAATGACGATGCCTTCAGTTAATTACAGAATGAAACTACAACAGAAAAGAAATTAATAGTATTTAGACTGTCAAATCTAAATAGTCCAATGAGATTCATTTGGTCTTCCGATATTCTATGTCATTAGGTTCTTTTTTTCAGACCTAGAGTTTTATTTCTGAGGAAGACGCCAGTGAGCAGTCGAAACTGTCAGGTATGAAATAACACTCTAGGTCTGAAAAAAAGAACCTAATGCCATATGTCAAATCTAAATCTAACAAAACTATAGATACAGTAGGTACGTTACAAGTGATATTAACCCTCTATGCGCCGCAGTCGACTGCAGGTGACAAGATGCTGCTCTGAATAAAACGGCCAATTTTGCCAAATAGGGTGTCAAATTTCATTCAAGCTAAACCAGGTTTGAACCAGGTCTAAACTAGGTCTGAAACAGGTCTAAACCAGGACTAAACCAGATTTAAACCAGGTCTGAACCAGATCCAAACCAGATCTAAACCAGACTAAACCAGATTTAAACCAGGACTAAACCAGGACTAAACCAGGTCTAAACCACGACTAAACCAGGATGAAAATAGGACTAAACCAGGACTAAACCAGATTTAAACCAGGTCTGAACCAGGTCTAAACCACAACTAAACCAGGATGAAAACAGGACTAAAACAGGACTAAACCAGGACTAAACCAGGGCTAAACCAGGTCTTAACCACGGTTAAACCAGCATTAACATGTTAAAATAGAACATTTTAGGAAAAAACCTCAGGTGCCTAAGTGATAATGTGATAATAAATAAATAAATAATACTAAACATGTTTACAGTGAAGGTACAATCTCCCTGTTTGAGCCCACTTTGGATGCACATTTGATTTGGTCCAGTTCTAGTCCTGATTTAGTCCTGGTCCAGTCCTAATTTGATTCCATGATTAGTCCTAAATTTGACATATGAACAAACCCCAAATGCAAAAGTCAAGGCAAGTTTATTTGTATAGCACAAATTGTGCACAAAGTAATTCAAAGTGCTTTACAGAATAAGAAATACATTAAAGTCACAATACAAACAAATCAAAACATAAATAATCATCATAAAATTAAAAAGAGACAGAGACATTAAATTAGAGAGAAAGAAAGAAAAATGAAAACCTTTCAGTCATATGCACAGCTAAACAGAACTGTTTTGAGCCTGGATTTAAACAGCATCAAAGTGGAGGCCTGTCTCACGTCTTCATACAGATATCTCTTAACTGAAAAATTAACAAACTTCAAGAAACATAAAACTAGATATGCACAGATACAATACTGGTATCGAATATCTGCTTTGATCCATGAAAATGTGCAGGTTCAGGCATTGTTTCCGTATCAGTTCAGTTGATATTCTGATTGGTCATGTTTGATTTCCCAGTGGGATGCGTCTATTGTCAAAGTCGATCTTTTCAAGTCTTTTAAACCATATCGCTTTTGTTTCTGGTTCTGATATTATCATATTTTAGTTATGGGATTCCGACATTGTAATTGTGTGATTGTTGGATGTCCCAACAGCGGAAAACGGGCTTCGGAAGTTTGCGAACTTCTGATATTGTTTGCTTTGTTGGCGCTCCACATACAAAATGTTCGCTGCAAACTCGGGATGATTTCTTAGGCCTCTAAAGGTTACCTTTATCATCTTTCATGTGTATCAATCCTGCCCATCGCCTTCACCTTTCACTATTTTTCAATTCCGCTGGGAACAGAAACTGTTTGAACAGAGGTTTGCAGTCACACAGATCTGATTCCCTTTCGCAGTTATGGAGTTTGCAAACTTCCAAAGCCCGTTTTCCGCTGTTAGGATCCAACAACCACACAATTACGATGTCTGAATCCCAAAACTAAAATATGACGATATCAGAACCAGAAACAAAAGCGATATGGTTCAAAAGACTTGAAAAGATCAACTATGACAATAGACGCATCCCACTGGGAAATCAAACATGGCGGTTTGATGCTCACTTTTTCCTTCCCAGTATGCATTGCTCGATGACCAGAAGTCCAACATTCGGGATGCATGTATTGGATGTGATTGATCAGTTTTGTATTAAGTTAACTGTTATTTAATAGAAATAAACTAAATAAATATACTTTTTTTCTGTCCCTGAGTTGGTATCGGTTTATATCGAGTATTGACAGAAACCAAAAGCCAAAGTATCAACATTGGTAGCGGAACCCTACATAAAACCCTAAAATTTTGGTTAAGAAAAGTCACAAAATACCCCAATCCGCAGTGAAAGTCTCCTCTGTGAAGCCTTTCTCGTACTGGACTTGTCAAACCCGAGGTCTGTGTGTGAACATGTGTTTAAATGAATGATCCAGGGCCCCTCCACAGTTTTACAGCAACAGAGACATGTGATCTGCACAAATGCTCCAGACCACACACACTCCAGACCACATACGCACCGCAGCTATCACACTCGGTTTGGGCCTGATGTAGACCCGCTTTGGGCCTGTTCTAGTTCTGGTTTGGTCTTGATCTAGTACAGGTTTTTGTTAGTGTAGTTTTAATTGTTAAGTAAAGACAAAATCAGGGCTAAAAAGGACTAAACCAGAGATAAACAGGTTCAAATCAGGACTTGAACCAAATCTAAACCAGCTAAAACCTAAACCTGTTAAAAGCTAGGACTAAATCAGGTCCTGGTTTAGACCTTAGTCAGGGTCTAAACCAAGACTAAGCGAGGACTAAACCAGCACTAAACCAGGTCTAAACCAGGACTAAGTAACGACTAAACCATGACTAAAAGAAGGACTAAAACAGCACTAAACCAGGACTAAACAAGGACTAAACCAGAACTAAACAAGGACTAAACCAGGACTAAACCAGGACTAAACAAGGACTAAACAAGAACTAAACAAGAACTAAATCAGGACTAAACCAGGACTAAACAAGGACTAAACAAGAACTAAACAAGAACTAAATCAGGACTAAACCAGGACTAAACAAGGACTAAACAAGAACTAAACAGGACTAAACCAGGACTAAACAAGGACTAAACAAGAACTAAACAAGAACTAAACAGGACTAAACCAGGACTAAACAAGGACTAAACAAGAACTAAATCAGGACTAAACCAGGACTAAACAAGGACTAAACAAGAACTAAATCAGGACTAAACCAGGACTAAACAAGGACTAAACAAGAACTAAATCAGGACTAAACCAGGACTAAACAAGGACTAAACAAGGACTAAACAAGAACTAAGTCAGGACTAAACCAGGACTAAACAAGGACTAAAAGAACTAAATAACAGGACTAAACCAGGACTAAACCGGACTAAACAAGGACTAAACAAGAACTAAATCAGGACTAAACCAGGACTAAACAAGGACTAAACAAGAACTAAACAAGAACTAAACAGACTAAACAGGACTAAACAGGACTAAACAAGGACTAAACTAAACAAGGACTAAACAAGAACTAAATCAGGACTAAACAGGACTAAACCAGGACTAAACAAGGACTAAACAAGAACTAAAGACTAAACCAGGACTAAACAAGGACTAAACAGGACTAAACAAGAACTAAATCAGGACTAAACCAGGACTAAACAAGGACTAAACAAGACTAAATCAGGACTAAACTAGGACTAAACACAAGGACTAAACAAGAACTAATCAGAACAGGACTAAACCAGGACTAAACAGGACTAAACAAGAACTAAATAGACTAAAGGACTAAACCAGGACTAAACAAGGACTAAACAAGAACTAAATCAGGACTAAACCAGGACTAACAAGGACTAAAAGGACTAAACAAGAACTAAATCAGGACTAAACAAGGACTAAACAAGGACTAAACAAGACTAAACCAGGACTAAAACACGGCTAACAGACTAAAAAAGAAACTAAATCAGGACTAAACAGGACTAAACAAGGACTAAAAACAAGAACTAAATCAGGACTAAACCAGGACTAAACAAGAACTAAACAAGAACTAAACAGGACTAAACCAGGACTAAACAAGGACTAAACAGAACTAAACAAGAACTAAATAAATCAGGACTAAAGGACTAAACAAGGACTAAACAAGAATAAAATTAACAGACTAAACAAGGGACTAAACAAGGACTAAACAAGGACTAAACAAAACACTAAACTAAATCAGGACTAAACCAGCCAAGGATTAAACAAGAAACTAAGCCAGGACTAAAAAGGACTCCACACTAAACCAAACTGAGCAAGGATTAAACCAGGACTAAAGAAGGACTAAACCAGGACTAACTAGAAAAGCACTCAGAGAGCGCAGCCTCCTCCAAGGACTACAGTCCCCCTCATATTAATTGTGTTTTCCATAAATATTTGTCTCATATCTTTCAATTTGGAATATGAAAGAGGATCCCATTGTCCATCCCTGAGTCAAATTTCATGGGGTTTGGTC